CAGATTAAAATATCAAAAAGTTTAAGTAAAAACCATGGAAGCTCCAGCTTCTACAGCAGCAAGGAAAGCAGATGGATCTACTGACGACACACAAATCTGCATACGAGCATATGATTATGAACATACTTCAAGAAACCAAGAAATGCAGAAGGAATTAATGAATTAATGATTACTATTAACATACAGGGAGAGAAGTCAAGCTGGTGACGAGTTTGACCAACTCCGGATCACAAGCTATATCCACATGAGTAGCTCCACCCTGTTAAAGATCAGTAATATCACAGCCTATTGCATATATGAACCAATATACGAGCTTTAACGTACAAAAACTGAAGAACTATGGTTAGAACAACAATAATCAAGTTTTAGATTGAAAAAGAGGGTAAAAGAAGTTACCTTATCTGCAGCGATAACAACAGAAGCAACGTTGTCTTTGTTGAAATTCTGCAAGCCTGAAATGATCTGAATACCAACCAAAACGTTTAATTACAAAATCAAGTGAAAGTTAAATTGTTGAAATCAAAGCAACCAACAGAAAATAAAGAAATTATCGGTGGTTAATTAGTAGAAGAAGGTTGGGGTGTAAAGAGAAGAGGAAACCTTGAGTGCTCTTCTTTCATGGAAGGATTTGAGAACTGCTTCTTTAGGGACTGAAAGAGAAGCTCTGGGAGTGAAAGAAAGGGTTGATGGGCGTTTTGGAAGAGGGGGATGAAGAGTATTGGAATTGGGTTTCAAGCGGGTGTAAGAAAGGAGAGAATTGGGTGTGCAGATTGAAGAACTCATCTCTTTCGCTTGCTCTCTTTTACTCTGTTGAAGTTGGGAGGCAGAGGATAGGAGAAAGTTGCAGGTTTATCCTAACCCAAGAAGACACTACTTGCCAAATAGTTTATGATAAATATTTTCCTTTTGTGTTAAAAAGAGGGGGTAAATTGTAGGGGTGAACAAAATTTTATAGGAAACCGAAAAACTTTAACTCAAAACTAAAATAGAAACCCCCGGTTTGGATTTGAGTTTTTCAAAAACCAAAATATTAGATTGACAAAACTATAAAATTGGTCATCGTGAGTTCAAAAAACTTTGGATATAGTCCAAAAAGTTTTCAACTTGTATGGATGGTCCAAAATCAAGAATTTCCTTTGGTTTTGGTCCTTGGAGAAAACTTTAGATAGGGTCCAAAAAGTTTCGAACTTGTATTGATGATCCAAAATCAAGAATTTCCTTTGGTTTTGGTTTCTGAAGAACTTGAAAAGACTATTTTGCCATTTTTATTTCTTTTTTTTTGTATTTTTTTATATTTCTTTTAATAATTTATTAATTAAAAAATAAAAACGAAAGAATTGGGCCTCTCCTCTCCCTCTCCCTCTCCCTCTCCCTCTCCCTCTCCCTCTCTCTCTCTCTCTCTCTCTCTGGTTGACCTCAAGAACCATAGACATCTTTATAAGTCTCCATCCCTATGATGTATTCTAATCAACAACACATATTTTCATTTGTATAATTATCAAGCGACAAAAATACCATATACTCCACCTCTCTTTCGTCTAATCTGAAACTTGCAACGCAAATCGCCATCACCATTGGAGAGTGCTGTCGAAAACCTGCAACTAGATCGGAAAACCCACAATTCCTCAGATCTGAGAAATTCTCTGATCTAAAACCCTCAAACCACAAAAAAAACATGAAGAAACTGTACGTCAAGCATATAATAGGGAAAATCAACGACATCATGGCGACATCAATTCAGCCTCCATCGGTTCGAGAGTAAGGGGAGAAGTGGATATGAGATATGGGAGGTGGGTGTTGGCTTCTATTTCGGTTTCAGATAGTGGCAAAGTAAAGAGGTAAAAACGATTCTTCCATTTTTTTTTTGCTCTGATTCATCGGTATCTTGGTGACATCGATTCAGAAGGACCAGATAATGACGATCGTTGTTCTTCTTATTTTACAGGGCCTCGACTTGATTTTTGGGTTTATTATCAGGTTTCATTTTTGGGATTTTCATTATGTTGCAAGAACCCTAAGTAATTGATTTCAATAAGCTGAAAAAAAGAAGTTGAAGATGAAATTAGAGATTGCTTAATGTCTGTATTTCTTGTGTATAAAAGATCGACTGTTTGTTTAATGTCTTTGTTTTCTTGGCTAAATTGCCATGGATCGAAAGTGGGAAGATTTATGGTGTTGCAGATTTTGGTGTTTGTGTTTATAGTTTATACGAGAGAGAGAGAGAGAGAGAGAGAGAGAGAGAGAGAGGGAGAGGGTGGGGTGGACCCGACATATTTTTTTTATTTTTCTTTTGTTTGTTTTTTAATTAATAAGGTATTAAAAAAATATAAAATAACAAAAAAGAAATGAGAAGGGCAAAATAGTCATTTCAATATTTTTTGGACTAAAACCACAAGAAATTCTTGATTTTGGACATTCCATGCAAGTTAAAAACTTTTTGGACCCTATCCAATGTTTTTTGAATACCATAGGGACTAATTTCATAGTTTTGTCTATTAGATTCGGTTTCGGTTGTAGAAATGAGAAAAAAAAGAGAAAGAACCAGACCGAATATTAAAAAACATATGTATTTCGTAATTCATATATGTATATATATACGTGTTTCATGAGTTATAAAAACAAATAGAAGCTTCATCTGATGGTTAAGGCACCACCCTCCTCATGCTTTGTTAGTCAGCGACTTAAAAGCATCCCACATCGTTCATAGATTGAAACTTGGCTAAATCTTCTCTCCTATGACCTATATAAGCAATCGCCATCCTCATGCTTTATTAAGCTTTAACTTTGAGTCTCATATTGGTTGAGGAATCGAAACTTCAACCATATTTAGCTTTATTATATAAGTGATGACTTGAGGTGGTTTAACAAAAGGCTTAAGGTTTGGTTTAATAAAACCGAAACTGAACCCGGAAACCCAAGCGAAAAACCGAAAACCTATAAACCGAATGTTGGGTTGGGTTCAAATTTTTAGAAATCAATGCTCTTTGATCTGGGTTTGATTTCTGGTCAAAGCCAATGCAAAGTGACCCATGCTCACTCCTAGCAAATCATAAGAAATATATTTTTTTAGACTTATGGGTATACACACCTTGTCATGGTATTGTACTGATGTGGAAGCTTTTGTACAACATGCACACCATCTTTGGGTAGCGTGGAAGTGGGATGTGGCCTCACAACACACGAAGCCTTCTTACGCCTCTTTAATGTACAAACTTTCATACAGAGTATAATTATCGGTTTGGTGATGTAAAGTGGTGAATACTTATTAGGTAAATGGTGAAGATGTGGTACTGATGTGACATTGAGGTGGTAGTATTTTTTTGTTTGGTGGTGTGATATTTATACCTTACGACCTTATATTCATCTATATATTTATTATAACTAGTGGTGATGATAAGTGTTTTACGACGAGTTTATTGATCATATATTTATGATTGAATAAAATAATATCAATTGTTGGTATGTAATATTACATGTGTAGTTTAGGAAAGATGACATATTTACTAAAACAAATAATAAGTAATTATAGAAACCACAATGACCCAAACTGTAACTTAGTCTTCTTGTCAAATATATCAAAATTTGGACTTAAAGTGAAAAATATTTCAAACTATATGGACCAATAGTGTAACATCCCAATGATGAGGTACTTCTAATTTTGAACCTATAATTGAATTATATTGCATTTTGATCCCTAAGTAAAAGAAAGAGTGCAAAAGAGGCCCATAGTGGTGTCACATCCCAAAATTCAAGACCAAAAATTTAATTTTTTATTTAAGTTATTATAAAACCAACATTATAAGAAAACAGCCATAATAACATCCCATGTCAAAACCAAAGTGTCAATAATCAAAACATGTTATCATAAAATAATATCAGAGTGTAATCCCAAAGATCTCATGTGCGGAAAACATAGTGTAATGCGTTGCGATCGAGCCGGCTCCTTTCCTTTGAAAACGAAGTATCTGAAACCAAAACTGTAAACCGTAAGCTCGGAGCTTAGTGATTTCCCCCATCATACCACATACCATACTATAAACATACTGCCAGACATACATGGGTGCCCGACCTACCCTATTGAGCATATCAGGGTGCTCAACCTACCCCTGCTAGGCATACTGGGGTGCCTAACCTATCCCTATCAGACATATCGGGGGTGTTCGACCTACCCCTCCGTTTATCTCAACCGGTTACGAGGACTATTTCACCCCTACCACTACCACATAATACATAGCATAACATACTGTCAGGCATACCAGGGTGCCCGACCTACCCCTTTGGTCTTTTCGACCTGATATGGGGACTATTCCCCTACTACCACTATCACATGACATCACACCATACTAGCCCATAAAAACATAACAGATAGTGGCATATGTAACATCCCGAGATTTTGCAGGTATTTCCGAATCCTCTCTTCTATTATTATTTTGTCATTTGTAGTCCCTGGGGTTTGAGGAGCCGACCCTTGAGAAATCTAAGGGCTAAAGTTGAAACTTTGGGATCAAGAGAGTACGCTAAGCGTACATAAGGGTACGCTGAGCGTACTAGGCGCGCCCTAGTACACTCGGCGTACGATGGGCGTACTCACGTCAGGTGGAAACCCTAATATTTAGGGTTTGGGTGCTATATAAACAACCTTATGAGCTCATAACCCTCCCTTACCTCAGCCTCCACTGCTTAGAGCCGTTTTCCCCAAACCCTAATCATTTCCTTGAGTGTGTGAGCTTATAGAGTGTATTTTGAGTAGTAGAAGAAGAAGGTGTTGCATCAAGGAGTTGGAGAAGGAGATCAAGCTTGTAGATCTGAAGTTGTTTGGTGCCCTAGAAGCTCCAGAAGGTAAAAAGCTTCAAACTTTATGCTTACATGATATAGATCTAGCTATTCTAGCCTTATGAAACCATTCTTGTCCCAAAAGTCCCCAAATTGGTGCATGATGTGGTTTTGGACAAGATAAGCTGTCCTTTCAGACCCTTGAAGAGGTCCCAAGTGATAAAAATGAGGTCCCAATAGGTTAAGTTGTCCCATGCAGGAAGTAGAAAGGTCTTAATGGATTAAGACCATGGATTGAGAGCTTTCTGGACGTCCAAAGTAATAAAGTTCAAAATTTTATGGCTTTAAGACACTTTTGGTCGATGGATCTGAAATATGGGCTTAAGTGCTTAAGCCATTAAGAACTTATTAGGGTTTTGGAAAAACCCCACGTACGCCCAACGTAAGTTCTGTACGCCTAGCGTATTGAGTCAACCACCCCGATGGTGGTCAACGTCAGGAAGAGTACGCCCAACGTACCAGAGGAGTACGCCCCACGTACGTCCTCTGTTGGGCCTTTGATGAATTAGGCTTCGGGATTGGGCCACTTTTTGGACTAATTAGACTTGGGCCTTGTTGGGCCCTCTGAATAATTGAGGTTTGGGCCAGTTTTGATAAGGGGCCCTATAATGAGCCCCAATTAGGGAGTTAGGCCCAAATGGGAAATTTGGGCCATTGATGGGCTTTGGATACATGAGCTTTTAAGATCATGGATTTGGCAATTGGGCCTTGGCCCAATAAAGAGAAAGGACAAAATGGGTTATGTGGACCCTTAGTCAAGATTGATATTCCACGTATTGACATAGTGTTTATTATTTGGATAGTTCGGGATTTTTGGTGAGACAGCGGTTCGGGAGTTCGATTCATCAGTTGAGATCGACATTGCGAGGTGAGTTATCCTCACTATATCAACAGGGTCTAAGGCACCAATGCCGGCCCTTATCGGATTTATATCCGGGTTTATTGCATGATATGCTTATTGATTTACATCTTGGTAGTTAGGATGGTGATATACGTAGTGACCTGGTTAGGTCGGTATCCTGGTATATAGGATGATG